AAGTGCGCCCCACCACCATCCCCATCACTTACATTCTGAACAGCTGACTGTGGACCTTCTCTCAATCCTCGGGGCTCCCGATGGGGGAAGATCTGAGGAGAGTCACACAGAACTTTCCTGAACGGCTAAGCCCCGGATTAGGCTGGAGGACTTCCAAGTGTGTCAAGGCACCTCACATACTATGTAGCTGTAAGTTTGTACATCCCACGTGGGCACGCAGGTGACTGACTACCCATGCATGCCTCCCCCCACACACACCCCACCAGTGCCAGGAGAGAGACGGAGAACTGCTATTTCTAGAAAACAAGGGACTTGGTCAGAGGCTTACTATATCATAGCCTCTCGTGTACTCTTGAGGCTCCGAGTAGCTTTTTGTTTTCTCCTGAAGAATGAAAAGTCCACGCTCAATTTATGTCAGCCAGGCTTGCTCAGCACTTGTAGGCATGAGTCTAATTGGACCAGAGCCCAGCAAAGGCTGAGACCTATTTGAGGCCCCATCCTGTTCTGAGGAGGACCCCACCTTCATGATGATCACTGCTGGTTGGCTGTTGGATCCTTCCACGTTGCTCTCATGCCATTGGTGACCTTCACAGCTGGTTTACAAGCCTTTCCGTGAGCCACCCAGTTATGTAACGGTCACAGGGCCTGACAATGCAAGCGCTCAGCACTTTAAGTCTTTATCCTAAAGGGTAAACATGCACATACATATACTATACATGTATAACAAAATAATCACATGTGTGTAATATACATGATACTATGTATATGTGTGTATATATAATGTTTAAGGGCATTATATATATAAAATTTAAATCTTGCAATTTTCCTATAAACTGTGCGTACTATTATTTCCCCTGTTCTGTAAATTAGGAAGCCAAGGCCCAGAGAGGTCAAAAGAGTTCGTCACGCAGCTAGCAAGAGCTGTATCTGGCAGATAACTTCAGGGTTGTGGCTCTGAGGCACCAGGCTTTAGAGTCATCAACAACCATCACCTTACAAACGATTCTGTACTGGGAATGGCTCCAAGACTGGCTGTGTGGGAAGCAAGGTACAATAGCACTGACGCTCAGATTGTCTGGACTCACGGGTAGTCCACTGTCATTTACAACATGGACATTCCCAAGTGGAGGGCAACTTCCGACTTCCCAGATGTGGCAGTCTAGGTCGTCTCTTGGCCTTGCTGTGCGGCCAGGGCCCTGCCCATTCACTCAGTTCTGGTCTCCGAGTCTGCGGCACGATGGGGTTATCTAAAGGTGTTAGGAAAACCCAGCAGAGGACTGGAGTTTAGTCTCCCACCAGGCTGGGTATTCCTCTGACTTCCTCAGAACAAGGGTGTGGTTCCTTGAGGAATGGAGACGCCATGCCTTGGGCTCATCATGGCTGGGTCCGGAAGGTTCTCAGAGGGTCCTGTGACTTCAGGACGAAAATACCTCCCTCATAGCACCAGAAGGGATCCAAAATGGAAGCCTCTTGCTCCTTCCCTTTCCATGTGCAGAGAATATTCAGCCCACCCTCAGCCCATCAAAATCTCTGGCCCTTCCGTAGATACCAAGATCACACCCACGACCCAGCATCCGCAACCCAGCAAATCCAGAGTGTTCCGCAAAAGGCCGTCTGTCTGGCACCCCATGGTGGGTGCCACACCTCTGGCCCCTTAGGGGCACAAGGTTGAGGGTAGAAACTGAAACCCACAGCAGCTGCCCTAATGCCGACTGTCCCTGCAGAGGTGCCAAATGAGTGACAACTGCATGTTTAGAACTTGGTCCCTGCAAGCATGGCTCCGGGGTGGCTGGCTAGACCACTGCCTTCCTGCCCCCCCCCCCCCCTGCTGAGTTCCACAGGAGCTCCAGCGGATGTTCCCATGTAGCGAAGCAGTGATGGCAGGAGCTGCTGTGTCCCTCAGGACCAGTAGGGTCCCACGCAGCCTACCTAGTCCCAGGGGAAGGAGCTTCGCATTTTGCTCTTGCTTAGGGCCCTGGCTCCAGCTGGTGAGCAAGAGAGCTCTGCTTGGAACGTATTTATATGTGTGGGAAACCTGTTCCCAGCAGCTAGCCCAGGCCTGTGGGCTGCTCTGGGTTTAATTTTGTCCCTGAGTTCCCCAGGGTGGCTTAGGCACCATGAGATTAACCTCACAGGGGGCCAAGTGACTTGGACAGCTGAAAGAACCAGCAGCCCCTGGAAGAACTCAGTCCCAGGCTCCCTGAAACCCTTAACCCCCTGATCCCTGAGAAGTGGAAGATGACTTCTCTTTTGCAGGTGGCTGTGGCCCAGAACCATTGCCTGCTCAATCCTGGGGGGCAACTTGAGCTCTGAGATCTTGTTAAATCCCCCACAGGCAAGGGGATTATCTTATCCCTTCTCTCAAAAGACAAGGCTGCAGCTGCTCTAGGGTTATCTTCCCCCGGGGCCCACCTTGGAAACAGAGAGTGCAGTGGGCTTTTTCCCCAGCAGGGTGGTCATGTCTGTGTAAGGCTACTTTAGTACATTCCTGAACAGCTGGCGGGGGTAGGGGGGAGGGATGGGGTAGGCACCATAGTGTTACTTTGGCAGTCCATCAGCAGGGAAAGTCGGCTCCCTCTCTGGCATTCCCCTTGACCTCTGAAGACCCTGGTAGTTCCTCCTTCAAACCCTCTCACAATGCCCTCTCCTCTCTCCCAGGACCGAGCCTTTGCTCTTTCCTGATCTCTCTTCTAAACATGTTTAAAGCCAGGCTTGGGCCCTTGTTTGCTTCTCCTCCTCTTGATTATATAAAACCAAAATAAATTTCTATCGAGGTAGCGAGAGGCGAGCCAGGACATCAGGCTACTGGGTGCTTAATTTAGCTGTGATGTTCCACTCTGGGGCCAACTTCATCCTGGAGCCTTGGCACCGTCACAGCCCGGTTCTCATGGCCCCTGGCTGGCTCTTCTTCCCTGCACAGCGGCTCCTTCCATTCTTCCTGGAATAGGGGTCACTGGCAGAAAAAAGGGGGGACGGATCCCACAGGAGAAATCCCACCTTGCACAAGGGGGTCCTGGGGCCTTCTAGAGGCTCCTCCTCCTGCTCTCCTACAGGCTGATTCGTCTATGGTTTCTGCATCTGCTCCCATTCCATCCCCTTATGTGCTCTGAAGGATGCTTGCTAGAGCTACCCCTGGATCTTATTTGATGTTGGGGACCATGGAATGCTCTAGAAATTGCTAGTCCGGGCCGTTGGATACTCCGTATGAGTACTCATCAGGGATACAGGTTAAAATGGCTACCCAGAACCTTCAATGCCCACAGAAAACGCTAATACTCTGATGTGAAAGCCCACAGGCTGGACGGGATATGGAGCTACTGGAACCATGACCAGCACTTAGGGCTACAAGTCAGCTGAGAGCCAGAGCCCTGGGCTGGGAGATCAGAGGGGCAGCAGTCAGGCCCTGCCCCGGCGTTCTTCTGTCTGCTGGGCTGTACTGCCTCTCTTCCATGTTGAGTCAGGTACTCAAACCTGCCTATGTCTCTGGACTGTCTCTACTGTAGGACACAGACATCTGAGCCCACAGACCACAGTTTTCAGGGTACACATTGTTCTACCCCTCTTTGCTGAGTGAACCCAGTGGAGTTCCAACAGTTCTCTGGGTCTCAACTGGGAAACAAGGGCTCTGGGCGCAGCATCCAAGAGCCCTGATTGGAAAGGTTTCTGCACTCGTGAGACTAGGGAGCTTCTGCTCTGTTGAGGACGGTGACATGACTGGGAACGGCATCCTACCGTGACCTGGCAAAGAAAGTGAAATCGAATCCTGGTTTTTGTTAGTTTGTCTTTTTGAGACAGGCTGGTTTTTTTGCAGCCTGCACCTTTACCAGCTGAGCCATCTTGATGGCCCAACACATCACATATGCAGACGAAACTCAAAAGCAAAGAAAAAAAACCTCCCAAGCTTGAAGCTGGCTTTTTAGTAGATAGTTGAAGTTGGCCCTGCATCTTGGAAGGCCCAGACTTCAGAGATATGAAAATACCTTTTCATTTTATCCCATGGTTTTGGATTTTTGTTGTTGTTGGGGTTTTTTTGTTTTTGTTTTGTTTTGTTTTAGATAGGCTCTCACTTATACCTGGCAGTCCTGGAACTCACTCTGTAGACTAGCCTGCCTTTTAACTCATAAAGATCCACCTGCCCCTGCCTCTGGGGCACTGGGATTAAAGGTACGTGCCACCACACCTGGCCCGTCTTATGGTTTTGAGGGTCAGGATGTGTGTGAAAGGTCAGCCTAGGTGTGTAATTGGCTGGGCCACCTATCCGGATGGAGAAGAGTCCCCACTCACTGTCTGCAGCCATCGTCTTCCCTGACACACAGGGACATTCTCACAACATGGCAACTACAGACTGTCGTCTCTAGGCGTCATGTCTTCTGTCTCCTATTGCTAAGTTCATGACAAAGGACACAGGAAATCCAAAGCAGAAGAGGGAACGGCCTCCTGCTTAGCATACCTATTCCAGAAATGATAGATACTCTTTCGCAGACCTGGGGGTAGTAGGTCCCTCTGTGACTGACCCTGTCCAGAGTGGCCTGTTGCTGTGCGCTCACTGTGATCTCTTGGCTTGGGCTCTGCCCTGTGTCCTTGGCTCCACCCCACAGCATCCAATTCTGGGTAGCTGGTGTTTCCAAATGTTAGTCTTGGCCACCTGCTGCATGCCTAACACCGAGCTTTGATTTTTTCTCAAGGATCTTATGTAGAACCCTTTATGTACCCTCCCTCATCCAGTTTTTCTTCCTGCCTCCCCCTTTGGTCTCTCCTTACACATCCTTTCCCTCTCCCTGGCTTTTTATCCTCTTTTCCAATTCTGTGTCTCTTTGTGTTCCCTCTCTGTCTTGTCTTCCTGCATCTCCCTCCTCTCTAGCTCCAGGCTGGGTAGTTCTAGAAACATACCCATATATGGCCTCCATGTCAAGGATCACAAATGATGACATCACGTGAGGACCGAAGCCCGAGATGCTCTCTGAAGAGGGAGCCTGTCTCCTGTGCCCCCAGAGGAGTGGAAGGCGGGACCACAGCTTCCTCAGTGCAATCTTTGGAAGGGAAATCTGAGAGTCATAACATCTTATAGCTTGGCTTGCCATCACGGTCATGCGGTGGGCCCGAAATAAACTCCCTGCTTCAAAGGAAAGTGTTTCAGAACGGCCTGGCCCAGCGGCTGGAAGCTCAGGGCCAACACAGGAGGCAAACTCAGGGAGCATGTTCTGAGTTCAGACAGTCAAGAAAATCTTTGTTTCCTAGACCTGTGTCCCTGCCACAGAGACTCACAGGTAATGCATGCTTTCGGCTTGGTCACAGGCACTTTCAAAAGAATCGCTGGGCGGGCTGGGACCTGCAGCTTCAGGACTCCCCGAGACCTGTAGCCAAACTGTGCCCATGCCTCTCCCTCTGCCCCTTATCTCCAGCTCTGTACACACTGGAGACTTGGGGTCTGGTGATGGGGAACCAGCACTCTGCATGCACAGTAGCTATTCTTCCAGAGGACTCCAGCTTAGAGTGCTGGGTGCTTCTAAACATGGACGTGCGAGAGGAGTGAGCAGCAATGCTATTTATCAGTGGGTCCACAGGGTCTCTGTAATGTCTGTGTTAGATAGGTGGCTTCTGAAAGTGCTTCTAGGCTGAGATAATGAGAGCTGTGTCCCTGCAAGGGGATGCAGGGTCTGCTGCATGAAGAGGGCTGTGAAGCTGGTGACAGCCCAGGTGCCGTGCATTCTGCATGCCCTTTCTGGAGGTTAGGAGAGGGTGTGGAATGAGTTTTTCCTAGATGGGACAAAACAAACTATGGGATGCAGGGATGCAGAAATATCATGCATACATGCATGCGCATGCACACACGCCATATGTGAGGAGGCAGTGGTCTTGGGAAGGACAGATAGAATGTCATCACTGTGAGCAAGGGGTCTCTGGGAACGGCTGGAACAAAGGGAGATGGGACTTGGGAAGGATGGGGCTGCTGAGGGAGAGACTCCCTGGGCTGGGAGGGAGAAGTGAAGCCCCTGTGGAGGCTGGAGGAAGGAGCGCTCATTCCAGGACCGAGGAGAGAGGGAACATACTTGAAAAGCGTATGAGCAGAGGGGAGGCAGGTGAGGTTTTATCTCAGGCTATATCTTGTGAAGCCAGGGATATGGGCTGACATGAACAGGTTGCTTACATCAAAGGACAGGAGAGCTGTGATAAAGCCCTGCTTGGGGCAGGAAAACTGTCTTGCAAGGAGTCCTGTGAGGCAAGGTTTGAGGGATTTCAGAAGGGCTTAGGCAGGTTACCAGACCAGCCCCCAGCCACAGCCTGACCTTAGCCATAGTTGTTGTTATCCCATTCTCGTTCAAAACATGGGCACAGACCCACCAGAAGGAACCGTCTCGTATTTCTGGTCCCTTGGGGCACAAGTAGGCCACACCTGGTATGTACTAGTTACCAACGTTGGGAGCCTCAAGGCAGTAATTGGGAGTGTTGTCTTCTTCCCTTGGACGGGGCCTGGAAGGAGCTAATAATGGAGAACAATGCAGTCCATGTTAGCTGGTATTCCTCAAAGACTTAATATGAGTGAATTATTTCCCTGACCCCTCAAAGCCACAGTGAGTGTGAAATGATCATTAACTCTCCTTTACAAAATTTGGAAACTGAGGCTCTGAGGGGACTGTCAGAGGTCGTGTCTGAGGCTGGGCGGCCATGAGGTGCCGGAACCAGGAATCAAACTTAGGCTTCAGGACTCAGGCACACATGCCCTCAGCCGCAGCTCCCGCAGCTCTCAGCCTGGCACCTCTGTGGACCCATGGCATCTTCATGGTATCATCAGGTACCAGGTGTTGCTCACAGACTAGATCTTAGGGTCTTCCTGAAGGAGACACAGAACTGTCTCCAGTCTGTCCCCTGGCCTTCCTCTTCAGAGTCGCAGAGGTGCTGGAGGCCTGAAGCGGGAGGAGTAGCCAACCTTACCACCCGTCACCGTCGCTTCAGGCTGCTGGCAGATGGCAGGGCTTGGTATTTCTAGAGACAGGGCAGAAACTGGGTCAGCCCTGTGGACTGAGCCGTACTGATGTGTCTGGATGCAGAGGGAGGACAGAGCCTGGGACACCCGCCAATCCCTGCAGGGCCTGGGGGCAGGGAAGGGGCCCTCCACCCTGTCTAAAACAAAGGTGACCTCCTGGCCCCGCAGCGGCAACAGCTTAGGGGCTGGGGGAGTAAGAGGGAACGCAGGCTCCCTGGAGTCCTGTTAGTTGTTGCTCTCAGACAACGCCTCAGGTGGCCTTGAGCTAATTCCTTAGAACACAGTATTTGCTACAAAACTTAGAAAAGTATTTTTTCTTTCTGTTCCCCCACCCACACCCTTCGCTCTCACCCACTTTCTTGCTGTTTTATATGAGGTGGTTTTAATCAGTGGACCCCAGACCTGGAATAAATAATTAAAATGTCTTTTTAGGATTCCAGATGGCTTGAGAGAAACTCACAAGGCAATGGACAAGCAAAGGGAAGGCAGGTTGCTCTACTCCAGATAGAGCCTCAGTTTCCTCTTTCTGCACAATAAGCCTCTGATCAGGTAGTGGAGTGAGGGCAGAGTCAACTTTAGACAAGATCAGCTCCCATTGGGTGACCTCTCTGGGCCTCAGTTTCCCCTCTACACATAGGAAGAAGAGAGCTGTATGGTGATGTTGACTGCACCCCCAAACCTTTGATCATAGCACCCTCTCCTCGACACAAACACTGAGCAAGCCTCAGAATCCCCAAAGCCTTGATACCCCAAAGTCACAAACTTGGCTGTGACCAAAAATCTGAGACTAGCAGCTGAGTCAGCTGTGCTTAGAAGCTGTGAGGCCTGTTCCCTGTGCTTTTCCTGGAGAGACACCAACAAATGTCTGCTCGGTCCAGATAGGCCTCCAACAGCAGACCAAAGCACGACTCCACCCAAAGCCAGCTTGGCCAACCAGTGAGTCATGTACAGAGCGTGGGTGCAAGGGGATTGACTTGACATCTCAGGTGAGGGTCACTATGAGGGATGGTCAACAGGCTGGAACTGGAGGGTCTCTTACAAGTGATCCCTGCTCTTCTGTTAAAGATGACCAAACAGCTGTTATGTTATGGCAATAGAGGTCTATAAAAAGGCCCTGACACCAGAGGCCCTTAGCCCTGTCCCTGTCTGTGGTGGTTTGAATGATAAATGCCCCACATAGGTTTATGAATTTGGAGACTTGGTCCCTGGTTGGTGACCTCATTTGCAGTGGGCCAGGCTATGGGGAAGTGCAGCTGGACTGGAGGAAGTACACCTCGGGGGTGGGCTTTGAGAGTTCCTAGCCCTACTTCCAGTTTGCAGTTCCAGTTTACCTCAGCAACAGAAAAACTGCTACTGTGCTTGCCAAAGGCCCACCCTGGGGCCTTGACCTGGGTCTAACCTTAGCTAGGGCAGCGACAAAGATCCAGAAGGGTGAGGTGAAGAGTCACTGTAGGTGTCCTCACCATTGCCCTCAGCATTCAGGGCCAAGGAGGGGGCTGATGAAGAAACCGGCAGCTAGATGTGCCCTTGGCCACTCACGTTCTGGGCCTCAGTCTCCCTCTCTGTACAGTAGGAAGGGGACACTCCCCAGGGCTGTTCTGGTTTGCATCTCTGTTGCTGTGCTGTTGGGAGGGTTTGTTTGGCTTAGGCTTCCACACCGAAGTCCAGCATCTAAGGAAGTTAGGGCAGAAGCCCAGGGCAGGAACCCAACAGCAGGAACTGAGGAACACTGTTGACTGGCTTGCTCTGCCCTGACTTCCTCAGCCTGCTTTCCTATACAGTCCAAATCCCCTTGTCCAGGGGTGGCACCACCCAAAGTGGGCTAGGTTTTCCTCCATCAATTAAATGCCTACAGTCCGATCTGATGGAGGCAATTCCTCAACTGAGAGTCATAAACTTACCAGCACAGGTACTGAGGTTAAAGGATTCTGCTCAGGACCGTGGTTGAGCACAATTCACCGTCCACAGCCACAAGTGTGGTTTTTACTGTTTAGATTTCAGAGCATGAGGAGCAGGCAAGGAGAGCAGGTCTCCAGTCTCCCATGAGCCTCTGCTGGAGAATGAGGTGGTTAGAGAGTGGGAGAAACATTGCAGAGAATAAGGCTGTATATAGGGAGTGGGAGAGGCCAGGAAACAACCTCTAACTCCCCACCTCCTCCTCATTCTCAGGCTAGCCCAAGCACACTGTTTTCACAATCACCTGAGGCTAGGGGTCTTGGAACATCGGGGTCCCTAAAACTCTCACAATAAATTAACAGATACTATGTATGTATCAATGTCATATACAGAGTTATTCTTAGGTATCTTCCGGGATGGGCTCCTAGAATCTGTAGATAGCAAAATTCGAGATGCTTAAGATCTGTAGGGAAGATGTATAATATCCACATAGAGCGTGTGCACATTCTCTTGTCCTCATAGGAGCCATCACTGGATTACCCAGAGCCCCCTGTGTAGGTAGTTGTTACTCTGTATTGCTTAGGGAATAATGACAGGAATAATATCTATACATGTTCAAGGAATAATGTCTACAGGTGCTCACCATTACTAAAACATTTTTTTCTGGATATTTTAAACTTCACTTAGTTGAATTCATAGATGCAGAATGCACAGATTCAGAAAGATGACTTACATATATACATACGTATATGTATATAATATAATATATATTACATGAAGGATTATATGATTCAACTACAAACATATTTGTGACTTAGAGTTTATTATATACACACATACAGTATACACTTATAGGCAAGCTTTTAAAAATACAAAGTCTTTATTCTTACCCCCAGTCTCTCCTAAAGCCTTGAAAGGCATCAGAAGGGGTGCTGGGGAGATGACTTAGTGAGAAAAACGCTTGCTACACAACCATAAGGACTGGAGTTGGGGCGGCAGCTGCCTGTGATCTCAGCACATAGGAGGCAGAGATGGGATCCCTGGGGCAAGGCAACGAGCTCTGAGTTCATCGAGAGACCCTGTTTCAACAAGTTAAATAGAGACAACAAATGTCACCCTCAGGCTTGCGTACAAACACACACATTCACCTCACCTGTACCCACACATGTGGACACACACACACACACACACACACACACGCCTGCCCTTAGCTATGTGAATCAGAAGTCTGGGTCTGATGTAAAGTCAGATGCAGCCTTCTAGTCCTGTTGTTGTCACTGCCTCTCTGCGTGTTTCTCAGTTTCCCCATTGTCAGCCAGAAAAACAACACCCCTGCTATGGACTCGCGATGTGGTTCAATCAGCAACAGACACAAGGGGCCACACG